GCTTTCATTTCAAATCCATTCCAGCCCATTGACATTGAACAGGTGGCAGATAAATTCCAAGAGGTGTTTACTTTGCCAAGTGGAGTTGACATGGAGATGATCGATTTGCAAAATGAGATAGAGCTAAAATGCAGGTCAAAGGAGAGTGGCTTTTGGGGACTTGTTAGCAGAGAGAAGTTTCCGCTTCTCACTGCATGTGCACTAAAAGTGAGCGCGTACTTTGGATCCACTTACTTCTGTGAAATGGCTTTTTCACAGATGAAAATAATCAAGTCAAAGTACAGGAGCCGCCTTACTGACAGATACCTGACAGACTGCCTCAGACTGGCTGTCTGTAGCTATGAGCCAGACTACAAAGCCCTCACAGACAGCATTCAGTCTCAGCCATCACACTGACTTCCATTAACAGGACTGTTTTGCTCTTTGGCATTGTGAAAGGTGATGCTGCATATTTTGGAACTCACTGCACTTAGCTCTATGCACGGATAAAGAATGTTGTTGTTAAGAATTGTGTTAAAATAACTCTTATCATGATTCCATTAGAATAAGTCACTCGTTTTTCTCAAAACATATACATTCAAACACATTATTCTATTTTCTTTTTTACATTGGAAAAACCTTGATATAAAATACATTAGTTTTGCATAACATAACATTTTTTAAATTAATTTAAAAATGTTACAACTTTTTTTACAATTTTCTTCTGTTCAGGGTCAAATTGACCTGTTCACTTAGAATCAAGCCAAATGAGTCATAAGGATTTGTATTGAAAGTATTTTATTGTAACAGCAATTAAGAGTGTGTGTGTGTGTGTGTGTGTGTGTGTGTGTGTGTGTGTGTGTGTGTGTGTGTGTGTGTGTGTGTGTGTGTGTGTGTGTGTGGTGTCTACACAGCACAGGAGGGACATGTTGTCAATGTGTGCTTTACGCAAATGTATTTTGCACAAAGCACACATGTCGTGCTGGTCTTGGTGTCATCAGACGGCTTGCACACCTGGCACCTTTTCCTCTTCCCCCCAGCGGCAACCTAGAAAGATGAGGATGAGGATTATTTACTATGTTTTTGCTGATGTTAGTGCATAGTAAGAACCACTAACATGGAGATGTAGGAACAATTGTATTCATTGCTACCAATACAAGGACTGCTCACAATGAATAAAGAACGTTCCTCCATCTCCATGTTAGTGTTTACACACACACACACACACACACACACACACACACACACACACACACACACACACACACACATTTTGGTTTCGATACCGATACCAAGTCAAGAATTGCGATTCCGATTCTTTTTCGATACTTTTCTTTTATTATTTTCATGATCAATAAAATTGTAGTTTATCTGTTAAGCGTTTTCTTACAACATGGTCTCTTCTTTATACTTGAGTTTATGTGATTTCTTTGATAGTTAACTTTATATTTTATTAACATGTAATAGTACAGTAATATAAATAATTATTGACAAAATGTACATTGCAGATGTTAGCCACATTGGTAAGTTAGCTAAAAAGATAGCCATATTAGACAGTTATCATTGCCATTAATTGCCTCGTCAAACTACGAAAACGTTCGTTTGTCACAAAATGAATTACACTTGTTTGACTTAGATTTGAGGACATGGGCTTGAGCATGATGTAATTATGTTATCTATCACATTCGCTCACCTGTCTGTCTTTAAATTCTTTAAACAGCTGTGGATGCCTGTCGGCGAGGTGCTTAGCCAAGTTGGATGTGTTGGCTCCCTTGGTTTGCAGGGACCTAAAACATTTCTTACAAAACTACAAAAATATATTTTAAAGCACTGAGTTAAAGGAACAGGGTGTTTTGCATTACAATGTAAAACTAAATATATATATTTTGTTTTTGTTTTATAATAATTAGTTGTCTTTGTAGTAGACAACACACATTTTTGCATGTCCTCACTGAGCATCATCACATATTCATTGCATATTAAACAAATAGCAATTGCCAATTATACCAACATTTTGATGCTAATATAATCATATGCGTGTGTACTTTAACTGAGAAAAAAAAGAATCTGAAAAATTACATGAATTATCTATGAAATTGCACTATTGACACACGTCCCCGAGTTTGGTTCAACCCTGTCACGCTATACATTTTACCCCCCTATTAAAATAATGGATCAGTCCATGTGACATCTGCATTGAGGGAGTGACATCACAGAAGTCTATTGAGGAAAAGGCGGCAAAGAAAGGCAAGTGTCAGTATCTTTTCTTACCTATATTTCATTTTTTAATGTCAGATTGAGATTGTCAAGCTCAACATTTCAACTCTGTTGTATGAATTAATTATAGTAAACAGTTCTTTAGGAAAACTTAAACAATAGTTGTGCAAAATACTACCATTTTATGATGTCCTTAAATTCCATGTGGTGCTATGTCTTAGCTAAACAAAGTGTCATGGCTACTTTTTGTCAAGAACTTCAACCCTGTCACATTTCTTATTATAACAGGGTTGAACTGTTGTGACAGGGTTGAATGTTTGACATTTCTTAGATTACTAAATGGTAATGTCTGTATCATTCTTAATGTTTTTTTAATGTTTAATATTTTCAGACATCACAATGGGGAAAAACAGCAGCAGAGAGGCAAAGAGAGTACAGGGCAAGAAGGAATGCAGACCCAGATAGGAGGGAGAATTATCTCAGGAGTGAGCGCAAGAGGTGGAAAAGGAATACTGAGGAGGGGAGAAAGAAAACTCAGTGATCTGAGTGACAGAGCTAAACGACAGAAGCGTAAGATGTGGAGGAAAGCTAAAAGAAGACAGAAAGAAAGGGAAGCTTTCAGCAATAGAGTGGCGAAGTCACGCCCATCTACTTCCGCCCCATGGGACCTTATTTCGGAAAAATAATGTATTGAAGTCAATGGAGAGAGAAAACTTATCTTTCGATCCCGTTTGAATTGTGCCATGAATTACACATATGATGTTTGTCAATCTTAACAAATAATTTCCATGTCAAAAAAGTCACAGTTTGTCGTAAAACTGTTGAAATATAAGACTATGAAAAATACGTAACTAGAAAGACTACAAATCCCAGAGTCGCGTAAGTGATGTCACAATTGTTTTCCTCCACTGAGATAAGAGATAGCTAAGATCAGCGCCATATAGATATAATCTATCTATATGGCGCTGGCTAAGATAAGATAACTTTAACAAGATGCCTGTGTGCTTAGTACCAGGTTGTTATTATACCAGCAATGGGTCTTGCTCGTTCTTTTGCTTCCCGTCTGATGAAAGGACCAGGAGTACTCTGGATCAAGCTAGCTAGTAGCTAGCACGTTAGTTAGCATTACAGCCTTGTCATTTTTATTAGCCTTAACATGAAGTAACATTAAGTAACCCACAATGTTAAACAGTAAGAGTAGTAGTCATATTTCGTGAACCCTTTGAAGAGTACTGTCACCGGTGTGATCATTCTATAATACACAATTTAAGCCCGGGGGAGAAATGCTAACGCTAACGCTAGCGATCTTCTCTACTTCATGCTATCTGCACAAATGGTTGACATTAAACATTAAAATGACCAGGCAGTTCAGAGAGAATCAAAGGAAGGCAGGCAGGCAGCTTTGCATGACTTTCTTCAGGACGTGTTTCATTGTGGTGATAGTGAGGGTAGTCAATCGTTTTGTTGACAAGACAGTAGTGACGGCCATCTTGGTGACGTGTGTTGTTGACCAGAGATGTAGTTCATTGAGCGTTTCACACAAACAAATGTGTTACTTCACAGTTTTACGACACATTTTATTTTTTTTGACTTGCAAAATTATCTTTTAAATTGACAAACATCATATGTGTAATTCGTGGCACAATTCAAACGGGATCGAAAGATAATCTTTCTCTCTCCATTGACTTCAATACATAATTTTTCCGAAATAAGGTCCCATGGAGGTCCACCGGAAGGGGAGGGACTTCGCCACTCTATATCAACACTCCTCCACAAAGTCCTAATATTCAGCATGCAGTGCAGCCCAGATCTGAGTCCACAAGGTCAGGGAAATATGTTGTTAGGGGTGTGTGTGTGTGTGTGTGTGTGTGTGTGTGTGTGTGTGTGTGTGTGTGTGTGTGTGTGTGTGTGTGTGTGTGTGTGTGTGTGTGTGTGTGTGTGTGTGTGTGTGTGTGTGTGTGTGTGTGTGTGTGTGTGTGTGTGTGTGTGTGTGTGTGTGTGTGTGTGTGTGTGTGTGTGTGTGTGTGTGTGTGTGTGTGTGTGTGTGTGTGTGTGTGTGTGTGTGTGTGTGTGTGTGTGTCAATGCAAGTGTTTATAATTTTGTTTAAAATATTATAGTTTGTCCATGTTAGATGTTTATATGGGCTCGAGTTTTGGGGAGACACGGGAGGTGCTGGGGCAATGGTGTGTGCTCACATACGATAAGGATTTGTATCCAGGAATAATCCTAGCCGTGGATGAAACACAAGTTCAAGTCAAATGCATGCATCGTGTCGGACCAAACAGGTTCTTTTGGCCTGTTCGTGAGGATGTGCTGTGGTATATGTTTGATGATGTGCTTGTGCTCATCCCACCCCCTAAGCCTGTGACATCACAACACATGGAAATTGAGAAAGAAGTGTGGGCCAGGCTTTCTGAATAAAGGATGAAGCAACACTTCACAAACAAATATTCAGAGTTCAATGTTATGTACTGAATATTAGTAGCCAAATTAGTAATCAAAATGAGTTACATTTTACATTATACATTTTATTAGGAATTGTTGTTACTGCTGACCATATGGACTGATTCATTCCATTCCTGTTTTTTATGAATTTGTGCTTGATGTTTTTTAAATGTAATTTTACATTGCACATTTTATTATGAATTGTTGTTACTGCTGACCATATGGACTGATTCATTTCATTCATGTTTTTGATGAATTTGTGCTTGACGTTTTTTTAAATATGATTTTAAATACTTCATGTTGTATCAAATGTTTTGATAGTTCAGCTGTAATTCAATTGAATTTCCATTTAATTGAATGCATAATCATTAATTACTCAGCTAAATAAATCCATACCATATAGAAAAATGTGTTGTCCTTTCAACCCTGTTATCATATTCAACCCCGTCATGCTGAGTTCAACCCTGTTATTTAATAGGTTTGTATTAATATTTTAGTGATATGAACTTTGAAGTGTTGTATTGTGTTTACAATGTACAAGATAATCAGACAAAAATATGAAACCTAAACAAAATTCTAAGTTGAATGCATATTTTTGATAACATTTGAAGGCCGATGTTGGATAAAGTTCTAATTATCTCCAATTGCAGTCAAATGGTGAGTATTTTTAAAAGAAAAAATCTACTTAACATAGGTGATCCTAAACAAGGGACTTCTGATGATTAAGGTTCAACAAGAAATAACTTGAATATCTTTTTGAATCATATTCACACAGACTCCAAGTTGTCTGTGACGGGGTTGAACTCCAAACAACTTTTTGTAAGAAGGAAACTCCTAGTAATTATTGGAATTGTATGCCTGAGGTGGGAAAATGTGTTTTCTCAAAGGTTTAAGTAGTCCTCTACCATATGTTATGATAAAAAATGCAATATTTTAAGGTATTTTCTTCAAAAATGCGAAGACCCAAAAGGCACCCGATTCAGAGAATCACCCACTGCAGGCACGGCTGCAGGGAGTGGAAGCAGAGCGCTGAACACACACGGCTCTTATTAAAACTGCGCTTTCTCACCGGAGTACTTTTCCCCGTCATTCTTAAAGTACCGATACTAATGAAACGGAGGAATCGTAACGTTTTTAACGGCAGGGTATCGCGGTACCTTTCAAGTATCGGTACACCGTGCAACACTAACTAACACACACACACACACACACACACACACACACACACCAGTGTTAATTTTGGCAGCTGTTTTTGATTTAGTCTTAGTCTTAGTCTTTAGACGAGGTAGGTAATTAGTTTTAGTCACATTTTAGTCATTTCTATCCTTCATAGTTTTAGTCTAGTTTTAGTCGACGAAAACTCAAAACGTGTTAGTCTAGTTTTAGTCGACGAAAACTCAAAACGTTTTAGTCTACTTTTAGTCGACGAAAACTCAAAACGTTTTAGTCTACTTTTAGTCGATGAAAAATTACATTTTAGTCAACTTTTAGTCAAAATGTTTTCTCTCTTTAAACCAATTCAGTTAGGCAAATACAGGTATCTGAAATTGTAATCAAGGTGACAGCATCAAGTGTTGAAATTCGTAAAGCAACATTTCACTCTCTTAACACTTTACTTGTGTAATATCTAGGGATGGGTATCATTAAGGTTTTCTACGGTACTGCTAGTCTTATCAATACTGCTTATCGATCCGGTACTTTAACGGTATTCTTGTATTTACTTTTTGTTATTTTTTAAAGGAAAAAACTAACAAATTGTTAACCGAATTAATTGCTTTATTTAAAATGTGAAATAAATTAAATATATATAATTATGTTAAAATATTGTACTGTACTTGAGTAAAATGTTGAGGTACTTGTACTTTACTGGAGTATTTAAATGTTTTGCTACTGTGTACTTCTACTCCACTACAGTTCATAGTTAAATGGTGTACTTCTACTCCACTACATGTATTTAATACCTTTAGTTACTTTACAGATGTGGATGAATGATGTGAAATATAATCAAGTGTTAACTCAGACTTTAGTAAATTCACAAGCTACCCTGCAGTATACAGATATATAATATATCATTCAAACTAGCTGCACCTTTACCAGCTTTGAGAACACTTTAATGATCAATCATTATAAAACATATCATATATATTATTCTGAAATGGAACAATCTGCACAATCACTACTTGTACTGTCGCTACTTTAAATATATTTTGATGATCATACTTTGACTTGAGGAACTCTTCCTACACTATGGTATTTTTTTACTTAGCGACAAGATCTGAGTACTTCTCCCACCTCTGCACACCTGATGTGATAACGTTACTCGTAATTGGGGCAACAGAGCTACGAGTTAAGGAAGTCGAAAAATTGTGCATTTCTCCGACTGAATATGACGCCTTTTGGCCGGCTGTTTGGACAGACTACTCTACTCGTGTCAACGCGCTAACGCGAAAACATGGCAAACGAGCTTTGTCCACATCGAGCCTTGTAGTGTCTCTATACTTCTGAACGCTCCGTCCCTGGCAGATCTCTGTGTGCCGCTGCAGCGTGTCTGTTAGGCCCCGCCCCCCGCACACAGAGAGACACAGGGAGATCGCTCTTCTGGAGTGAAGAGAGCGGAAATAATGATATTGCAAGTTAGAAATGTAAGATGCATTTTGACAGACAAGACGGGCAATTGGGGGAAAATATGCTGCATTTTGAATGTCCGCTAGTCCACCATTAACACCTTAGTCCCGTCTCGTCTCGTCAACGAAAACTAAATATACATTTCGTCAAATTTTCGTTATCAAGAATCTATTTTTAGCTCGTTATCGTCTCGTCTTAGTCATGTAAAAAAGGTCGTTGACGAACATTTTTCGTCATAGTTTTCGTTGACGAAATTAACACTGACACACACTTACCTCACGCATAGGAGTAGTTGGTGTAGCCCTCTCCTGGATCTCCCTCACTGTTGCAGCAGCGGCTGGGGTCCTTGGCATGTGCTGCCTCCTTTTAATATGAGGGACGACAAGTGCCTTCCCCAGCTCCTCAAGGAACAGGCGCCTCCTGTACAGCTTGGACTTGTTCCACTCAGGGAAGATCTCCGTGAAGATAACAAATGCGTTGTAGGCCGATATATCGATCAGGTTATAGAACATTACTAAAGGCCAGCGTGCCGTCATCCTTTTGGTGCTGTAGGTCCCTGTGACTTTGTCCAGGTTGTCCACCCCCCCTTTGGTGGCATTGTAGTCCAGGATGAGGTTCGGCTTATGATCCTCTCTGGTGCTGATTTCAGCATTCTTATGGAGAGTGCTCATGAGCAACACATTTTTTCCCTTTTTGGGGCAGTAAGACATTAGGGTTGTGGTGTCTGTGAACACAAACTTGGAGGATTGAGGGACCCTGTTCTTGATCACCAGCATTTCGGCAGGGAGTTCCGTTCTGTTCTTTCGTACAGTTCCAACCATTGTTAGCTTTCTCTTCAGGAGCTCCTGACCCAGGTTGTAGGACGTGAAGAAATTGTCACAAGTTATGTTGTGACCCCTGAGACCCTGTGCCATGTCGAGCACAACCCTCATGCCCTGATTCCTCTCTGGGGCTCCTCCAACTGGCTTTCCAGTGTAAACCTGCAGGTTTAGTGCATAGCTGGAGTTTGCATCACATGCTGCCCATATTTTCAAGCCATATTTTGCCGGTTTCGAAGGCATGTATTGCTTGAACGGGCAACGACCTCTGAATGCCACCAGCCTTTCATCCACTGTGACATTAGGTCCTGGGTTGTAGAGAAGTGGAAGCCGCTCTACCCACTTGTCCCACACTGTCCTTATAGCTGCCAGCTTGTCTCTCTCACGTCTGCCAGCTCTTGTGTCACGATTATCAAATCGGATCACTCTTGAGAAAATGTGGAAAGTCCCCAGAGACATTGTGGCTCGAAATATATTCCTGTCTGCGTCCCACAGGCTGGCTGTCGATTCATCCTTGGATTTGTAGACCCCAGCCAGGATGAGGAGACCCAAATACGCATGTAAATGCATTTCGTCCAGCTCCTTCCACTCTTCCCCATACACACGTATCCCTTCCAGATTGGTCATATCCAGAACGATCTTCAGCACTGTGTTCGAAATTACCAGCTCAAAAGCAGACTTGATGTCTGTGACACGAGAGACTGCCATCCTGGTGGGCCCTGGCACTGCCTTCATTATGTTTGCTGCCGATAGTGTTGCCTGGCGTCCATTAGGGGATGAGGACCACTGAATTTCACAATTTTTGGACATGAATGTCTCATCTGGGCGAATATCAGTTTCCTCATCTGATTGATCAGAATCTTCATCTTCATCGTTTACCTCAAGGTAGTCTTCATCCTCGCAAACGTTCTCCTCTATCTCGCTGTCGTGATCCTCCTCAAGGATGTATTCCATATAGCCCAGGGCTGTCCTCTCTTCACTTGAGTTTCTCATTTTGTCTGATAGTATTGTGAGTATACTGTACGTTAAGTGCAGAGTATAATGCATCCCAGTGTGGGAGGAGCTTACCCATTACACATTTGAGACTTGAACCCTCTGACCCCCACTTTCACTAGCAGGTGCGGTGTGTATTTGTGTGTTTGTGTGAGAGTAAAAAATAACAATGTATCACTTTTGAACCTTCTAGCCTCCACTTTCACTGCCAGGTGCAGGGTGTCTGTCTGTCTATCTGTCTTTTTGTGTGTGGAAAATTACGATATATATATACTGTATATCGCATTTGAACCCTCTGACCCCTTCTAGCCTCCACTTTTACTGCCAGGTGGGGGGTGTCTGTCTGTCTGTCTATCTGTCTTTTTGTGTGTGGAAAATTACAATATATATATATACTGTATATCGCATTTGAACCCTCTGACCCCTTCTAGCCTCCACTTTTACTGGTGTGTGTGTGTGTGTGTGTGTGTGTGTGTGTGTGTGTGTGTGTGTGTGTGTGTGTGTGTGTGTGTGTGTGTGTGTGTGTGTGTGTGTGTGTGTGTGTGTGTGTGTGTGTGTGTGTGTGTGTGTGTGTGTGTGTGTGTGTGTGTGTGTGTGTGTGTGTGTGTGTGTGTGTGTGTGTATTTCTGACCCCTTTTAGCCTCCACTTTCACTGCCGGGTCAGATTGACCCGAATACCATCTCTGTGATATAGACATGTAGGGGGGGGTTCCAAATGCATGACATGAACCATTTTCATTTTACTTGTTTATTACACTAATTAAGGTAAGTAGAAGAAGTTTCATACAAAAAAAATACTTGAAAGTATTTTTCGTAGATTTTCCAACGGGTCAATTTGACCCTGAATGTAACAGGAGGGTTAAAATATATATATATATTGATCTTTTTTTGAGATGTGAAGTAAAAAGATATGATTCTACACTGTATTGAAGTAAACATGTATTATTTTGAATTGTATTTTAGTGAACATGTATTGTTTGAACTGTTATAGGTAATCACAACGGTTTTGGGTAATCATATATATAGAAATAATATTCTCACTGACCCAGAGATTCTGCTTCACACACACACACACATTGGCCTTTTCACCCCTAAAAACAGATGTTGGTTTTAAAGTCGTTAAAGACCTCATTAAATGTATGCAGAGGGGTTTGGATGTCTGAGGGGGGATGGTTTATGTGAAGAGCTCTCATGGGAAGGTATGTGTTAACATTCAGGTAAATATGTTACCAATTTGTGTTATTTGTTGTGCATGACTGGAAGCCAATAGCGTAACAGGTTAAAGGTCAATGATGGGTATAAATAAAGCCACGCCTCCAATGGGAGGGCCCGTTGAATGAAATGCCACTGTCTCTGATGTTTCGTTACTCCTCCGCTTATTTGGATGCTAAACAGCAATGAAGTTATGCTTACTCTGCTAACAGGTTATGGGCCCAGAGACACCCAAATAAGTATTTCCGGCGTTTGTCCACCGATGGAAAGTCGCAACGTAGCACGTGTGGTGGATTAGCAAGCTAAGCTAACGCCATGAGCAGGTTGGGCGCAGGTTCCAGTACCCGCTGGTCTCGGTTAGTGTTTGACGGGGATGAAAAGAACTATGAACTGTGGGAGACGAAATTCTTGGGCCATCTTCGCTTACAGGGACTGAAGAATACTATTTTAAGGAGTCCTACGGACATAATTGAGGAAGATGAAGAGGCGGACGATGAAAGGAAAAATGAAGAGGCTTATGCAGAGCTTATCCAATTTCTTGATGACAAAAGTTTGTCCCTTGTAATGAGGGAGGCGGCGGATAATGGTCGGCAGGCATTGAAGATTTTAAGAGACTATTATGCAGGCACAGGTAAACCACGTATTATCAGCCTATATACTGAACTGACATCACTCCTAAAGTCAAGCAGTGAAAGTGTGACGGAGTATATAATACGTGCAGAGACCGCCATCACCGCTTTGAGAAACGCGGAGGAGAAATTAAGTGATGGGCTTCTTGTAGCAATGGTTTTGAAGGGATTGCCAGAATCATTTAAACCATTCGCCATACATATCACGCAAATTGACAGGATAATAAGTTTTGCTGAATTTAAGACTAAGCTCCGCAGCTATGAGGATACTGAGCGAATGCGCACACCGCCACCAGAGGACAACGTCATGAGGGCGCGGGAACAGTTGAGAGCGAGACGACCCTCTGTACCAAGAGCATGGGATAAAGGAACCAAGTGTGCAGACATTGTTTGTTATAGATGCGGCCTGAGTGGACACAAGGCCGGAACGTGCCAACGTAAGCTGTGGTGCAGTCATTGTAAGAGCAACACGCATCGGGATGCAGCCTGCAGGCGGAAGCAGCGACGGGAGGACGACGCGCGGAAAGCTTCGGATGAAACTACTGGCAAGGAGTATGCTTTCCGAGTCAACGACGTGGACAACAAGGTCCAGCCAGGACGCAGCATCACCGAGAGAGGACTGATGGTGGACACAGGGGCGACTTCACATATCGTCACGGATGTAACAAAGTTCAAGAGGTTTGATGACGACTTCCAGGCTGAGTCCCACTGTGTGGAATTAGCTGATGGTACCAGGTGCAATGGTGTAGCAGAAGGAAGAGGGGACGCTGTTATTATTATGGTGGACAGCATGGGGAAAAGACACAAAACAACTCTGAAGAAGGCGTTGTACATCCCATCGTACCCCCAAGACATTTTTTCTGTGAAAGCAGCTACAACCAAAGGAGCAACGGTAACCTTCAAGCAGGGCAAAGACGTCCTGCAACACAAAGACGGTACAACATTTCACATTTATGAATTGAACAGACTTTATTTCTTGAACACAGTAAATGATGAATGTGATGACCAATGCAACAGGTGTTATGATTTACAGACATGGCATGAGATCCTGGGACACTGTAATTATGATGATATTCAGAAGTTACAGAATGTTGTTAATGGCATGTCAGTTAAGGGTAAGGTAAACAAACCTCCACATTGTGATGTATGCACTAAAGGGAAGTTTACCCAAACCAGGAACAGGGAGCCTGATGTAAGAGCCAAAGCAGCTCTAGAGTTGGTGCACACAGATATAGCAGGACCAATAGATCTGCAATCCAGAGAAGGCTTTAAGTATGCTTTATCATTCACAGATGATTACTCCAGTGCAGTGTTTGTGTATTTCCTTAAAAACAAAAGTGACACAGTGCAAGCAACAGAGAGATTTCTGGCCGATACTGCCCCATACGGGAAAGTAAAATGTATCAGGTCAGACAATGGCACAGAGTTCACAGGGAAACATTACCAAGCATTACTATGCAGTAATAGGATTAGACATGAAAAGTCAGCACCGTATTCCCCACATCAAAATGGCACTGCTGAAAGGAATTGGCGCACACTTTTTGACATGGCCAGGTGCATGCTTATAGAAAATGAGATGCCAAAAAGTATGTGGACCTATGCAGTACAGACAGCAGCTGTAGTAAGGAATAGATGCTTTAACAACCGCACAAAACAGACACCTTACTTTATGCTGACAGGTAGACGGCCTAACCTTTCCAGAATGCACAAGTTTGGGTCAGTGTGCTATGCTTATAAGCAAGACAAAAAGAAACTGGACTCAAGGTGTGAAGAGGGAATTTTTGTTGGATATGACAAAAATAGTCCAGCCTACATGGTATATTTCCCTCACAGTGGAAAAGTGCAAAAATCTAGACTTGTGAAGTTTGTGACCAAGACCAATTCAGAAAGAGAAACACAAACAGAAACCGTCTCTGATGATGATTTTGAGGTACAGAACAAATCTGGCAAAAACAAACGTGATACTAACGTAAGTCCAGTATCTATACCTGTTGTAACAGAGACAGAAGACAAGAGTGAGCTTAGGCGTTATCCTTCAAGAGTGAGGAAGAAGCCAGCTTACTTATGTGACAGTGTATGTGGTAAGGAGAGTGAGGATCAGCTACTGACAAATATTGACTATTGTTACAGATTAATGTGCAATATCCCTTTAACATTTAGGGAGGCTGTAACTTCATCTGAGTCAAAACAATGGGTTATTGCAATGGATGAAGAAATGCAATCACTAAAAGAGAATGACACATTTATCCTGACCAACTTACCTCAAGATGAGAAAGCAGTGGGGGGTAAATGGGTGTACGATATCAAAACCAATGTTGATGGATCCGAAAGATACAAGGCACGATATGTAGCCAAGGGATACAGTCAGAAGAGGGGTGAAAACTATGATGAGACATTTTCACCTACCGCTAACCTCACCAGTATCAGAGTGTTAATGCAAAAAGCAGCACAGGAAAATCTGATTTTACACCAAATGGATGTTAAAACTGCTTACCTACATGCACCAATAGACTGTGAGATATACATGGACCAGCCAGAGGGTTTTGAGGTCAAATCTAGTAAAGGTGAAAAGTTGGTGTACAAGCTAGAAAAGTCATTATATGGGCTTAAACAGTCAGGCAGAAATTGGAACAAAATGCTACATGAGTATCTGAGTGAAAATGAGTTCCTACAGAACCCTGCTGACCATTGTGTTTACACAAAAGAAACTGAAAACTGGAAAGTGATAATGATAATATGGGTTGATGATATAATCATTGCAGCTAGTGATAACAATGCATTGAAAGTTGTTAAAGAGATGCTCACAGCTAAATTCAGGATGAAAGACTTGGGGAAACTAAAACATTTCCTTGGCATTGATTTTGATCAAACTGATTCATGTGTAAAGATGTCACAGAAGAAATATGTGAACAAAATACTTGAAAGGTTTAACATGCAGGATTGTAAACCGAGAGCGACACCTTGTGAGCAAAAACTGAACTACTTGGATGATGCTGTACCGATGAAGGATGTTAGAATGTACAGAGAGGCAGTAGGTAGCCTGATCTACCTAGCTGTGTGCACGAGGCCTGATTTGAGTTTTGTTGTCAGTAAACTGTCCCAGTATTTTTCTGAGCCGAC